CTATCGATTCAGAGTTTTGGGCGGCTAGTGGTCTAATTGTGAAATAGACGCGGTCGTTGTAACAGGAACTCTATTCGCCGTACGCTTTAGATTAGAGCTCGAAGCCATCTTCGGCGGCAGCAACGGATACGGGTATTTCGTACAGAGGGAGCTGCAGTATTTATAGGATGCAGTCACTATGATAATTAATGGCCCCCCGCCATCGAGGATGATTGCCTTATAATGTGCTAACGGCTTAGAGGCCGGCATGCGGGTTGGTATATACTGAAATGTAATCAACCGTGTTAGATGTGGCCAATATGACTGATCAGTAAAATGACTCGTCGGCACCGACGCTGGAAAACATGTTCGCCTACGCACTTTTCGCATGCCTGATTGTTTTGGGCAAACAGCACCGAATACGTGGGAGGGTAAGTCACTGCGCCTGTAAATAGACTTCATCGAACTTGAATGTGTGGCTGGGTGTCGTTAAACGGGCCGTGACTAAAGAGTCGGCAGTATTTCTCCACACTACTGTTGCGTGTTCGGTCATTCGCACAAATTTAAGTTCGCCGAGGCTGAAATTCTCGCAAGAAGGCACGATCATACTAACTTCCTGGAATCCGTATTTTCGCTTCTGTCGACAATAGCGTATTTGATCAGACCTTGTGACTAGAGTCTAGAACTCGCGTCCTCTCGTGCTGCATATATAGCAAACCGGACTATACCAATGCGAGAAGACCGGTAACACGGAGATGTTAGAGAAATAATTGCACTGAAGGACCTATTTGCGCGTTTAACGGTAAACTCACATACAGTAAAGCTAGACAATTCAGGCTTTTAGTATAAGGCCAATTTGGAAAAAAATATTCCCAAAAGGACTCCATACCAATGAACTTTCCTGGAAGGTTGTGCTAGGCACACGCACTCTCACAGTTGCCGCGTGGAAAGGTGAAAGTCCTGCGCCTACTTTTTACACAATCAATAGTGCGCATGCCTTATCTGCTGAAAGTGCCCACCAGGATTTAGGCTTTCATCCATTAGACCCCCTTCGGACATTTTTGCTCACTACTAATTTATTGTGCGTAGAAAAACCCTGCCCCGAGAGAGTAGTACTTGTTGCGTAACGTTTGCATATTTTCCTTCTTGTTTTGCGAGATCGTAAGGAAAAAGTCAGTTACTAAGGAAATAATGATAAAAGTGTCCCTTAAATCTTGCAATATCTTATTCGTGAAATTGAAACGACTTCCTAATTTTCGTGTCAAATTTTGAAAGGACCACACAGTATTGTGGAAAAAGGGGGCAATTTTCGCAGACATTGACAGATACCGCCTTGTACTCGTGAGTGGATTTAAGCAACAGGGCAAGCTAAGGGATAATAATATTTGCACATACAAACAGCAAAAACATTTCGCTTACGGCAAATGGGCGACCGAAAATCTAACCACATTTTAAGTGCTAGAGGCAACAAACAGAAAAAGTTGCAAAACAGAGTCAAACGGCGGCGTCCATCATCAAAAGAGCATCACTTTAATCCGGCCTCGCTAAGACAGCTCACCATCTGGTTTGTCCAAATATCAGTCACCGAAAA